TGCAGGCTTCCAGAACATACCGTTTCCCAAACTGAACCTATACTTGTGTCCATTTTGCACTTGGAGTCTCAGCAAATTTTTGCCTCTTCTCTGAAGCTTCCCATACCTCCTAAGCTAATTAGCTGCCTTCCCTTGGGCTCCTACTGCTCCGCCCAGAGCCTCCCAGCAGCAGCAACCACTTCTTGCTTCAGTCGTTTAACCACCTCCCTCCCTCCCTGAGCTCTTAGGCCAGGGTTTCTTTTTGTTTTTGAGTCAGACTTACTCTGCCGCCCAGGCTAGAGTGCAGTGGCATGCTTACAGCCACTGCAGCCTCGACCTGCTGGGCTCAGATGATCCTTCTGCCTCAGCCTTCCAAGCAGCTGGAACCACAGGCGTGTACCACCACAGCCAGCTAATTTTTTGATTTATTGTAGAGTTGAAATCTCACCACGTTGCCTAGGCTGATCTTGAACCCCTGTAGTCAAGCAATCATCTCTTCTCGGCCTCCCAAAATGCTGAGATTACAGGCTTGAGCCACTGCACATGGCTCAAGCCAGTGTTGCAGTCTTCCTGCCTCCAGTGGCCAGGCCAGTGCATGCCACATGCTGGGCACTTGTGATGTTTGCTGCATCCAACTGGCAGGCAGGAGGACTGGGCCTGCATCCTGGGCAAGGGGCTTTCTGCATAGACTTGAGTTCCTTCAGCAGGTGTTCATTGTTCCCTGTGGCCACCAAGAGATACACATAACTCCTGGCATTTCTGAGCATTCTTGCAACTCTGAATTGTGATACAGTTAACATTCAGTGAGTGACTTCACTGCACATTGAAAAGGTCTTGACAGTCGTGCTTGCGGTTAAACTCGACCCCGCTAGGTGCCGCTGTTGCAGCTGTGCCCAAGGAGGATGGGGATTCCTAGTCCCGCTTCCTGCCCCGAGGTCATTCCGACCTCCTCTTTTGGGCATCTGTGCCACTTCCCCATGGCCTCTAGACTTGTGATTTTGTTTCACCTCTCAATGGCATGTGTTGGGAAAGGCAAGGAAATGCTCCATCACATTCTGACGGGAATCCCTTCAGCCGCCGAAGCTGGTTTTGTCCTGGACCCGTGGAGAATAGCTGGTCGTCCATTCAATTCTTCCTGTGTTTCCTTCCTAGAAGCAGGCAGAATAGACCTCTTGCCCTCTCTGCAGACTTCCTTTCCAGTTCCCAGACGCTATCGTAGTGCTCCTTCGGGAGCATTCTCCAGGCTTCCTGCAGGCCTCCTCTTCCTGGAGACCGCAGCTGCAATGGGCTGATGGCTGCTGGACAGGAAGGCTCCAGATAAAGGTCAGGAAGCCTAGGGCCTGCACCAGCCCCAGGACCACGTGGCCACTTGAACTCTCATCATTCTGTGCCTTGATGTCCTCAGGGCCTGGCCCGCCGTAGGTGTCTCAAAGAGTGAATAAATTATGAAATCAGGGAAATGTCTCAGAAAGATGCTGGTGGGATGATGGGATCCAGGTGACTTTTCTTTTGTCATAATGTGCGTCAGGATTGTTCTGTTTGTTTTTTGAGTTGGGGTCTCACTCTGTTTCCCAGGCTGGAGTGCAGTGGCACGATCATGGCTCACCACAGCCTTAACCTCCTGGGCTCAGGCGATCCTTCCACCTCAGCCTTCCAAGTAACTGTGACTACAAGTGCATGCCACCATTGCTGGCTAAGTTTTTGATTTTTTTTTTTTTAAGAGACGAGGTCTCGCTATGATGCCAGGCTGGTCTTGAATTGCAACTCTCCCAAAGTACTAGGATTACAGGCCTGAGATACTGCACCCAGCCTTATTGTTTCTATAATAAAATAAGGTATAGGATAGAAATATTTAAGATGGTACCAATCCAAGAACAGGGTGATGTTGCCCATTTACTAAACCACACACTTTGGGTCTTCCCAGTCCCCCATCGAGCATGCGGACAATCCATTCTCTTTTCTTTCAGTCTTTGTCTCTTGTTTACTAATGGCTTTTTTTTCTGTTCCTTTTTTCCATCATCCACTGTGATGCTCTCCTCAGAGCCATCCCCCCGGGTGGTCAGCCTTGAAAAAGCGAAGTGGCAGTAATGACTCTCCCAAGGGAAACACACTTAAAATATTTGGGGAACCTCTGTTCCCTGGGAGTGGCCCCTGTCTCACGCCCCCTGCATTCCTCATACTCTCGTGAGATGGTCTCACTGTTCCCCAGAAGGGGCCCAAGGTGATTCAAGTGGGTGAACAGAGTATGGGACAGCTTCATCCTAGGCCTTAGAAGTCCAGTACTCCAGCTCCTGAGGTTACCTTTCCAGTCTTGCTGTCATCAAGTAAACCAGTGATGTCAGAGAGCTTCATCCTTCATTTTCTGAACCATCATGGTCTTAAGTTTTTGCATCTTAAGAACTTAGCAGCTTCTTATAAGTGGGAAGGACTTATTTTTAAAATTACCCTGTTGAGGCCAGGTGTGGTGATGTGTGTAATCCCTACACTTCGGGAGGCCTAGGTGGGAGCACTGCTTGAGCCCAGAAGTTGGAGACCAGCCTGGGCAACCTCAACTCTACAAAAAATAAAAAAATAAAGATATTAGCCAGGGGTGATGGTGTGTGCCTGTAGTAACAAGCTACTCAGGAGGCTGAGGTAGAAGGATCGCCTGAGCCCAGGAGGTGGAGGCTGTGCTCATGCCACTGCACTCCAGCCTGGGTAAGAGGGTGAGACTCTGACAAAAAAATTACCCTGTCAAAAATGAATACATGTGTTTAGATAGTTGCTCAAAAGTTCATTTCCTCTTGAAAGGCAGAAAATGAGGTCAAAGAGCATTGCTTCAGGAACTCTGACTCCTGACAGTTTGTGCTGTCATCTAACAGCTTCCCAACTGCCCCTCAGGGGAGCCCAGGCGTGAGGAAAGGAGCCACATTGCCAGGGCCCTTCCTCAAAGAGACCTGTGTCCTGTTGACCCCAGACACTGCTCTGATGCACAGTAAAGGGCCCTGATGAACAGTCTTGCAGGAAGCCAGGGGGAGCAAGAGGTCAGTGAGCTCCAAGGAGACTCAGGGCACGCTGGCTGGTGGCCTGGGATAGCAGAGCCCTTGCCAGGGTCTCCACGCCAGGAGGGTCCATGCTCAGACGAGCAGATCAGCCCTTTGCCTTCCTTGGCACTGAGATATTGGACCTGATGGCCACCTCCTTGGCCACCCACAGGAGTCTGCTGCACAGTGAATGTGGGGTACCACTCCAGGGGGAGGCCGGTGAGAAGGACTTGTGGGAGCTCTCTCCTCCCTCTGAAGGATGGGCTGGCCAAGTGGCTGTCAGTCAGATAATAGGTGGGGAAGGGGTGCAGAGGCAAGGCCTCTGTGCTGCTGAGGTCCAGGGCTCAGTCATGGGAATGCTGCATGTGTGACTCTGCCCCTCTCACACATGGGACGCAGTTTCTCAAGGCGCAGGCTGCAAGCTAGGTGTCTGCCTGAGTCCAGCAGGTTGTTTGGTCTGCCCAGCGTTCATTTGCCTGGTGTTATGCTATTTTTCTTATAAGTAAATCAAGGAAGACAATGAACTTTTTCCTTATAGGAAAGCGTAAGGTTTAAGGTGCTATTTTAAGAATGGAGAGAGCTGGGCTCACTGACTCAGCCTGTAATCTCAGCACTTTGGGAGGCTGAGGCGAGTGGATTGCCTGAGCCCACAGGCTCAAGACCAGCCCAGGCAACTTGGCAAGATCTCGTCTCTACAATAAATAAAAAATTAGCCGGGCGTGGCACTGCGTGCCTGTAGTTCCAGCTATGTGGAAGGCTGAGGCGGAAGGCTCACTGGAGCCTATCAGGTTGACACTGGGGTGGCCATGAGCATGCTGCTGCACTCCAACCTGGGTGACAGAGTGAGACTCCAACTCAAAAAAAAAAAAAAAAGAATGGAGAGGGCAGCAGGGTCTCCTTGTGGCAATGCACTTTGCACCTGGCCAGCTTTCCTCCGCAGTCCCCTCCCCACTGTGGAGGGAGTCAGCTGTGCCCCACTGCTGCCGAGGGTTGGGCCTCCCTTGGGGGACCTGGGGGCTCCAGAGACTCCACATCACTGTTTCTGGCCGCTCAAGCCAAGGGTGGGATCTGCCCCTTCCTGCTGGGCCCTTAGCCCTGACATCCAAACCGACTCAACCAAGCACCCCGAAGTCTGGGAACTTGGAAAGTGGGAAGGCTTGGCATGGATGCACCAGCCCCTCTTGCAGAAGTCCCACTGAGGACAAGCTCTCTGGCAGGCACTTCGCTAGTGAGGGATTCAGCGCCATGCATTGGCAGTGTAGAGGTTTGCATGTTGGGTATGGGGTCATTCTTTCCATTTTTTGTGTATTTTCTGCACAAATATGTTGTAGCAAAATGAGAAAAAGCAATAAAAGGTATTTGGAAAATACAAGTGACCAAATTATGGCTTTGATTTTTGTGGAAACTCTGAAAGAAAACAGTATGTCGATATTTAGAAAAAGACTCTGGAGGCACCTTTTGAAGGGCATTTTTTATTATAAATTTAATATGGTTGATTAATGAAAAATCACAATGAAGTACCAAGAAAATGTTTGTCAATATAAAAATTTTAGCAGCATTTCCATAGTTCAGGCTCTATCATTAGTCGCACTTCCTCCCTCCCGCGTGAATGGGTGATGGAGCGTCAGCATGTCCAGCTCAGGGAGGGCCTTGGGGACACACACACATCCAGTGTATTTTCTAACAGTCCACCCCCACTCCCCCCGAATCTCTCCAGTGTTGAAGCATGTAAAAAGCCTCATCTGCGTCAACATGTTGACGAGGCTTCCTTCTTCGGGCTGCAGGAAGACTGGGATGAAAACCAACACTGGACTTGATATGCGGTGCTCAACCGCATGGCCTCGCACTGATCATTCTCTGAGCAGATGACGAAGAAAGGCCACTGCAGGGCTGACTGGGACCCAGCATGCGGTGGCGGTGGTGCTGGTGGCTGAGGCTGCAGCGTGGTGCATGCTGGGTGATGTGCCACCACGCGCTGCTCCACGGACAGTAGGACAGTGAGGGGGAGACAGACAACATAGAAAATATAATACTGGCAAACGTTCCCCTGCTTCTTTGGTACTTTCCAAAATTCTCTGATCAAAAAAGTATAAGGGAAGCACACCATTAAAAAATTACACTTTTAAGTATTTACAAAAGCAATGCTGATATATTACATGATAATCCATACAGTATTTGAACAAGCTCTTTATGAAAGCACTTGTGAACTCCTGCCCGGCATCCTGAGCCAGTCGCCCTATGCCTCCCAGGTCTCTGTGGCCGGGCCCATGTCTCATTTAGCTTACAGTATATTAGAAGGGAAAAATCAGGTATGGAAAAAAACATTTTCCAATCCACATCTTCCTTTTCAAAGGCTCTGAGAGTTTGCCACTGACATTGTTATGTACAAGATTTACTGAATATTGAATTCTAGGCAATGATCTCCACTCCCATTCGACTACGTTCGAAATAGTGCTACCTATTCTATGTATACAATATATACTTAATATATAAGTAACTGCACCACATTATTCACCACGATACCGGCTTAATACATATTGTTATGTACAGTAGTTAGGTTAGCTCTGAAGCTGGGTCTCCGCAGCCGGCGAGCGTGGAATGGGACCCACAGGTGTGCAGGGCTGGTGGGAGAGCTGCAGCCAGAGGTGCGTGTAACAGAGCACGCCACCAGTCCATCCCTTCAGCTGTGTACGCCGGCAGAAGAGAGGTCACACGTAGGGAAGGATCCCGTACATGAGTAGGGCCATGATAGCAGCACTGAACAATCCAGCCACGGGGACGGTCACGAACCAGGCCACAAAGATGTTCCGGAAGAGGCGCCAGTCAACAGCCTTGCGGGAGCGGATCCAGCCTACAGCCACCACGGAGCCCACCTGTGGAGGCACAAGCATTTTAGGGTGAAAACAGGCTCACGTGTAAAAGGTGAGACACAAAACCTGCGTTCAGCCAACGTGAGTAAAGATTTAAAATCTCAGAGACAAAGGATATGACCCAGTTACCAAGTCTCCCCAAGTTTGGTAAAGTTTTTTTTTTTCCAAAGGTCATTTCAGTTTTACTTTTTAAAAATAATTTAAAAATTTTTATTTTAGAGTTATGGGGTACAAGTAGGGATCTACTACATAAGTAGGTTGCATGCAGGTGAAATTTGGGCTTCTAGCTGGCCTTCTCTCCCCGTGATAGTGGACATTGTATCCAGTGAGTTGTCACGTGCCTTGCCCCCTCCTCCTGCCTTCCTCTCCTAGCAGTGTCCAGTGTCTGCCGATCCCTCCCTTGTGCTCATGTGACCAGTGATCAGGGCCGCTTATGAGTGAGACCATAAAGTATCCAGATCTTTGTTTCTGTGGTAGTTCACTTAGAATGATGGTCTCCAGTTGCATCCAAGTTGCTACAAAGGACATGATTTTGTTCTTTATGGTGGCATAATAGCCCGTTGTGTATACTGTACCATATTTTCTTTATCCAGTCCATTTTCAATGGGCATCTGGGTTAGTTTCATGTTTTTGCTATTGTGAATAGTGTGGCAATAAACATGTGTGCAGGTGTCTTTTTGGTAGAGCAATTTATGTTCCTCAGGGTATATTCCCAGAAGGAGGATTGCTGGATCATATGGAAGTTCAATTTTTAGTTCTCTGAGAAAACACCATGCTGCTTTCCACAAAAGTTGAACTAGCTTACATTCCCACCAACAGTGCAGGAGCATCCCATTTTCTCTGCATCTGTGCCAGCACCTGTTCTTTTGACTTATTAATGATAGCCATCCTTACTGGTGGTAGGTGGTATATCATTGTAGTTTTGATTTTCATTTCTCTGATTAATGAGGCCGAGTATTTTTTCATGTGTTTGTTGGCTGCTTGTATGTCTTCCTTTGAGAAATGTCTGTCTGTTCATGTTCTTTGCCCACTTTTTAATAGGGTTGTTTTTTTTTTCTTTTTCAATTCCTTTTAGATTCTGGATGTTAGGCCTTTGTCGGATGCATAGCTTGCAAATATTTCTTCCCATTCCATGAGTTGTCTCTCTACTCTCTTGATGGTTTCTTTTGCTATGCAAAAAGTTTTCAGTTTGATAAGGTCCCACCTATCTTTTGCTGCATTTGCTTTTGAGGACTTGACCATAAATTCATTGCCTACTCCAGTGTCCAGGGGGGTAGGTAGTCCCTATGTTTTCTTCTGAGATTCTTATAGTTTGAGGTTTCCCATTACCCATATTGAGTACATTTTTGTATATGGTGATAGGTAGGGGTCCAGTTTCATTTTTCTGCATGTGGCAAGACATGCAGGAAAATGTTTATTTTATATAACGAACAATAATAAATGTTGTTATTGTTGGTCTTGTTGAAGATAAGTTAGTTGGGGGATTGTGTTTTTATTTCTGGATTCTCTGTCCTATTCCATTGGTCTATGTGCCTATTCCTGTACCATGTTGTCTTGGTTACTGTAGCCTAGTAATAAAGTTTGAAGTCTGGAAGTATGATACCTTGCTGAGGATTGCTGTAGCTATTTGTGCTCTTTTTTGTTTCCTTATGAATTTCTGTATTGTCTTTTCTAGGTCTGTGAAAAATGATGCCTGCAGTTTGATAGGGATTGCATTGAATCTACAGATTGCCTTGGGTAGGATGGACATCTTGACAATATTGATTCTTCCAGTCCACAAGCATGGGATGTTTTTCCATTTGTTTGTATCAACCTTGATTTCTGTAAGCAGTGTTTTGTAGTTCTCATTATAACGGTCTCTCACTTCTTTGGTTAGGTGGATGCCAAGGTATTTCATTTTTTGGTGGCTATTATGAATGGAATTATGTTTTTTATTTAGTTCTCACTTTGCTTGTTGTTGTATAGAAATGCAACTGTCTTTTGTGTGTTGATCTACAGAGTTTTCTAGGTATAGAATCATGTCATCCTTTTTTCCTATTTGGATACCACTGGTTTCCTTCTCCTGCCTGATTGCTCTGGCTAGGACTTCCAGGACTACGCTGAATAGGAGGGGTGAGAGTGGGCATCCTTGTTCCAGTTCTGAGGGGGAATGTTTCCAGCTTCTGCCCACTAAGCAAACTGTTGGTGCAGGTTTGTCATAGATGGCTTTTATTGTTTTGAGGAATGTTCCTCCAATGCCTAGGTGTTCAAGGGTTTTATCAAGAAGGGATGCTGGATTTTATCAAATGCTTTTTTGGCATCTAATGAGATAATCATGTGGGTTTTAGTTTTATATCTGTTAATGTGCTGAATTAAGTTTATAGACTTGTGATGTTGAACCAGCCCCGTATCCCGGGAATGAAGCCTGCCTGATCATGATGGATAATCCTTGAAATGTGTTGTTGGATACGGTATGCTAGAATCTTGTTGAGAATTTTTGCATCAGGAAAATTTGTTTATCAGGGAAATTGGCCTGCAATTCTCTTTCCTTGTTGGGTCTTTGCCACTTTTGGCTATCAGTATTACATTAGCTTTATAGAATGACCTGGGAATTCAGAAATCCTTCCTTCTTGATTGCCTGGAATACTTTCAATAAGATTGGTATCAGGTCTTCTTTGTGTCTTGTAGAATTCAGCTGAGAAACTATCTGGTCCAGGGCTTTTTTTTGGCAGGAAGGTTTCTTATAACTGAGTCAATTTCCTGGATTGTTATTGGTCTGTTTAGAGTTTTAATTTTTCTTGTTTCAACCTTGGGAGGTTGTGTGATGCCATGAAATCATCCATTTCCTGTAGATTTTCTAATTTATTTGCATACAGATATTCATAGTAATCTCTGATAATTTTTTGAATTTCTTTGGGGTCAGTTGTTTTTTTGTTTCTAATTTTGTTTATTTGTTTATTTGAACTTTTTTTTTTTTTTACTCAATCTGGCCAAGGTCTGTCAATCTTATTTATCCTTTCAAAAAACCAGTTTTGTTTTGTCTTGTTAATCCTTACTATGATATTTTTGTCTTCTATTTCCTGCAATTGTGACTTTATTTTAGTAATCTGGATTTTTCTATTGAAATTAGGATTTAATTGTCCTTGCCTTTCCAGCTCCCTTAGGTGTGATGTTAGGCTGTTTGTTTACTTGTGATCTCTCTATTCTCTTGATATGTGTATGTAATGCTACAAACTCCCCTCTCAACACTGTTTTCATGGTATCCCAGAGGTTTTGATATGTTTTCATTTGTTCCCAGGAATTTTAAAAATTTATTTCTTGATTTCTGTGTTTACCCAAAAGTAATTCGGCAGTATGCTATTTAATTTCCAAGTACTTGTGTGTTTTGGGGGTTCTTTAAAAAAGTTTTTAGGATGGTTTAGATTTTAGGTATAACTGTCTTAAGACTATTGTTTCCAGGATATAGTTCTGATGCACTTTTTCCACCTATATTCTGCTCTATTTGGGTGGAAGTGAAAACAATTCAATGTTTTCTAGTCTTTCTGGACCTTATAAACAAATCAAATGTCCTTGCTCTAAACATTGCCATGTAGCTTACTGTTGACTCTACTGAATGAACCTGCTTTAATGACCTTCAATGAGACAGCAGGAATGAGTCCTTCTCTCAGAATAACAGGATTATAAATGGAACAGGAAAAGGCCTGTGAGAATATCTGACCCAGGGGTAACAGGGTCACATCAGATGCTACCAGAGAGACTGTGGGGCAGGAGCAGGCTGAGAACTAGAACTCAGGCCTCTTGACTGTAGCCTTGACTTTAGCTAATTAGAATAAACAAATAAATAAATAGAGTATAAACAAAGAAATAGAGTATAAATAAATATTGGATCTAAACTCAATCATGACTTACAAAATGAAAGTTACAGATACTTGAAAATAAAAATGTTAACACTGATTCATCTTTCTCTCTCTCTCTCTCACTGTCTCTGTCTCTCTTTTCTTTCTTGTCAGGGTCTCACTTTGTCACCCAGGCTGGAGTGCAGTGGTACAATCACGGCTCACTGCAGTCTCAATTTTTTTTTTTTTGAGTTGGAGTCTCACTCTGTCGCCCAGACTGGAGTGCAGTGGCCGCTCCCAGCCACCGCAGCCTCGACCTGCTGGGCTCCGGCGATCCTTCCGCCTCAGCCTTCCAAGTAGCCAGAATCACAGGCATGCGCTACCACGCCCGGCTGATTTTTTGAATTATTGTAGAGATGAGGTCTCGCTGCCCAGGCCGGTCTCGAACCCGCGGGCTCAGGCAATCCACTCACCTCAGCCTCCCAAAGGCGCGGGATTACAGGCTGAGCCACCGAGCCCGGCTTGCAGTCTCAATTTCCTGGGCTCAGGCGCGATCCTTCCACCTCAGCTTCCTGAGTAGTTGGGAGTACACGCAAGAGCCACCACACCCAGCAGTTAAACAAAATTTTTTTTTGTAGAGACAAGGCCTCACTGTGCCTAGGCTGGTCTTGAACTCTTAGGCTCAAGCAATCTTGCCTCAGCCTTCCAAAGGCATGAGCCACTATGCCTGACCCTGGTTGAAATTTTAAAAGGAAAAAAGACATAATTTTAAGTATTCTACGAATGAAAATCAAAGGAAAATACAATGCCTCTAATATCTCATACCTCACCCAGGGAATGGTTAAGCTCAAAGATAGTTTGACAGGGTGCCCCATGGTCACATGCAAGTTGAATTTTGAAGATCTCCATAAAATATGCTTTGTTGCTATTGATCCCCAGATACTTGAGAATTAGCAGTGGCTAGTGAGAGTCAAATAGGAAAGGCGATTTAATGAAGCAGAAAATCAACTACAGAAAAATGAAAAACAGCTGGACACAATGGCTCACACCTATAATTCCAGCACTTTGGAAGGCTGAGGTGAGAGGACTGCTTGAGGCCAGGAGCTTGAGAACAGCATAAGCAACATAGCAAGACCCCGTCTCTACAAAAATAAAAAAAATTAGCTAGACATGGTGGCGTGCAGCTGT